AGCAGCAGCAGCAGCAGCATTCGCAGAAGAAGTAGTAGCGGGAACAGTGTATAGTACTATCACTATTGTCGTTGTTAGTACTATGATTTATGATAATTAAATTTAGGTGACCAGAACTATTATTACGCTAATTTCTCGAATTGTTCTTATGATTCCCTTCTTGATGTAATTGCGCTTACTACTCCTGTTACTCTCATTGCTCGTATTGTGCATCTTACTCTAAATTATAATATTCCTCTTAAAGTCTTATTCCTCTTATTCCTCTTGTGAATATCACTACTACTACTACTACTACTACTACTACTACCGTTGCTGCTACCACTACTATAGCTACGACTTACCATTATATACAGTTAGTGCTATCAGTATTACTAGTATTATTATTACTAGTCTTATCATTACAACATTAGACATATATCGATTGATCCAGTTAGCACGAATGGTGCGATTAGCTCGGTTACTTTGTTGTGAGTGTTTCGGTTACGAGTATCCCTAGCATTACGAGCACTACGAGCATTACGAGTGTTGTGAGTGCTACCAGCATTTCGAGTTTTACCACTGCTACTGTTATTGCTCACTTGATATTGGTGTCAGTATTTTGACTATTGCTTTCCAAAATGAGTGATAAGACTAGTGATATTAGGATCACCACTACTATTGCTAATATGTTGCTGCTGGTCGTATTGCCATTCAGACGATTATGATTACTGTTAGCAGTACTGTCATTGTTGTTACTATGATTGTCACTATTATTGCAAAGATGGTTAGTGATTCTTATTGCGATAACTGTTTCTACCAGCCAGATTATTGCAACTACTAATACATGTAGTCTGATTATTACAATTACTGCAGATTTGAGTACTACGATTACCATTATCTCTACTACAACCGTCTTTGATATTATTCGCCTGTTATTACTGTTGAAGTTGTTGTTGTCGTTACGATTGCTTGTATTGTCATGAACAGTAGTACTATTGATCGTCATCGTAGAAGTTATTTAAAGAATTAAAACTGTGGCATGAGAATTACTACAAAACTATTATTTGTACGTGTTTTTGACTATGATTATTGCATAGTCACTGTTCATCTGGGATTTGTCTGAGGCAAGAACCGCACCTTTGGCGAAAGAAGTCAGAAAGCTTCTCCACGGACCAGTCCTGGATATCTCCAGGCAGCGCTGTCGAACAGGTGCATGCCCTGATGACCATGCCCTAAACCCTGCGCCTAAGTCTTAAGCTTTAAGCCCTACGCCATCATTGGGGTCTGTGGAAAAGCCAGGGCTGCAGCATAGGGCACGCCGTCAACAAAGACAGTAAGGTTCACGCCTGACCAAGATGTGTTCGTGTGCAGGCCCCTTAAGCCGACTGACAGGAAGGCTTCTGATGAAACTTGCAAGTCGAAGGCTTGGACAGGCCTGCCGCGGCTTCCTGCGGCGGAACGATACGAGCGAAGGCTCTTCGAATCTGCAGCGAACCGACCTGCTTCTGCGAGGCTGCGCCGCTGTCGCCGCCTCCGCCTGTTGGATGGCCGACTTCATGCATGAGTTTCTTGCTCAGCCAGCTCCTGTGCGCTTTTTCTTCTTTTGGATCAGAGAAGCCTGTTTCGAGGACATGTGGTTGAACATGGCCTTCCATGTCCCTGCAGAGCCGGCCTTCGTTTTGGAGGCCTCCGCTGAGTCCTTGGCATCCACGTGTCCTGGGCAATTTTCATTGAGGTGCACGGCTGGCCTGTATGTGGAAATAGCGGTCCTTCTTTCAGGCTTTGCTTCTTGGCCTGCATGCGCAAGAGTGAAGGAAAACGGAGCTGCCTGCGATTATCGAAATCGCGCATAGGACAGGCCTTCTTTGAGGCCGGCAAATCAGGCTGGGACTGCAGTCCTGGATGCTATGCGATATATCCACATTGATGGTGCAGACTGCCTTCGACCGCTGCCCGTCCAACTCACTGCGCTTTTGCAATTTCCGTACACCAGCATGCCAACAGGCCAGTCCTTTTCGCTTTTGAGCCTTCCCGGTCTTCGCAGGGACCTGATACACTTGCACACACTTGACCCAACAAAGGCAAAGCAAAGAGCCAGGGAAAAGGCAGCATTTCGTACTGCTTGGGCTCACACTTCTGCATCTGAAGGGCCTCCACAAAACTTCTGGCTCTGACTGCTTCTGCTGTTGCTGCCCGTCTCTAGCCCATGTTACACGGACCGGGCCTGGCCTGGGCTTGCTTTGGCCTCCGCCTTCCTTTGGAGGCAAAACTGTTCTGAAATATTCGCGCTTGAAACCACTGAGTCTTCTCGGCGCCCGAACTTCGAAGTGCCCTGCCGCGCGTGTTCCTCCTCCGCGGGCTTTTTGGCCTGGCCCGGGACAGTTCGCTCGTGACGACTGTATCTCTGCTATATACTAGCGGCCAAAACCTGAGAGGAATTCCACGAAGGAAGTCCGACAATTGACCACACGTGTTGGTGTAAAACCAAAGCTGTTGAGTTCATTCCAGTTCTAGTTCTGGCGACCACCTTCGGCCCCACATTCAGGAGACCGTGGTAGGCTCTCTGACTTGAGAATGGCAACTCCACAAGGCTACCTTCCAGTCCTGGTTGGTTTCACCTTCCCCAACTAATTTTAATTACTGAGTTACAACCCACTTTGCACCTGCTTCTTCTTCTTCTTCACCGGCTTCTCCATGGCTCCAGACTCAAGGAGACGAGAGGTCTCATGCTGCTGGTACTTTGCCATGATTTGCGCTATCTGCTATTAAATAAGCCGGAAGAAGCGAATTGCCATACGTTACAACACCATGTCAACATGGTTCCTGGAGGCATTGAAGGCATGAGTTTAAGTTCTCCTGCACCAATCACCCAAGCCACAGTTCTCCTGCGGCTCGATGCATTGCAGACAGCACTAGAAGTGAAGCAGAAAAAGAAATCGGCTCCACAGCTGGACAGTGCACGGGTGTTGTGGCGGAGCAACTCCTGATTGGTCAAGAGTACAAAGCTTTAGCAAGAGTGCCCAACCACGCTAGACTCGCTTGCAGATCTGCGGCCTTCCATGGCCAGCAAGCGGACGTGATGCGACATTGGCATTCCGGTCTGCGAATTAACTCGAGCGGACCTTCACTGCGCCCAGTTGTCAAACTGTAACCTCCCTTCGTGTCCAACACATTTACTGTCTCTGAGGCCGTTTGTCTGATGGAATCCGCACATGTGCAAGACACCTCTGGGCTCTAAAACAAGTTGGACCGGATCCGCAACCACGAAGTCTTCAAGAAACCAGCCCAAGCTTGGTAGGTCTACTCGCAATGGGCTCTGTGAAGGTCGAAAGAATCTTGTCGGACTTTGCCAAACTTGAACTACTGGTATGATCACGGGTGAAAACTTCAGAGCGCTGTATCGCTGATGTTGAAGAACATCTCCCTTGAAAATTCGTCATTCAGGGCACTCGGAAGTTTGTTCTTGCGGGCCTGTTTCAGGTCCCAGCGGTACATTCCTACAAAGCGCGGTTGTGTCCGCATTGACTCATTCGGCTCCCATTGGCAGCAACGACGAGTATCCGCTTGTTCTGAGACGAAGAAGTGGCAGCAATCGAAGGAAAGCGAAACCCAAAGGCACCGTCACGAGGCCGAGCCCGAACGCCAGCGTAAGTTTGTGGTCTCGGGCGGTCCGCAAGGCGCCAACCTCCGCGACTAATGCGGTGTAGCCGTGCTGCGCAGCTGTTACCTCACTGTGGTGGAGGGTAAGTCTTTCGACCCGGGTCTCGCTGAGGGGAGGCTGTCTCAGGGGGTTCTCTGTAGCCCGCTGCTCTCGCGTTCGCTCCCGACGAGCGCTTCGGCCACAACCGTGGCAGGAGCCCCAACTTCCCCATGGGCTCCAAGTGCAAAACCCATGTACACAGGACCTAGGGCACTTGTCCACCTCCTCCCCTGCGAAAGCATCGCAATTGCTGCCACCATTCTGGGCATACTGCTTGATGGTGCGCTTCCGCTTGCGTTCGCCGTCACACTTGTCACAGGCACTCCAGTCCCTCCAGTCGCCAAACTCGCAGGCTACCGGGTCGCCGCCCTCGCACTGGTCCTCCGCGCAGCCCTGGATCTTGGTGAGGGAGCCTACAGAAGACAGACTAACAGGAGAACTCTTCTGGTGCTACCATCGGCAGGAGCGGCTTGCGGTGTCACATCCACAGAACTGCGCATCACTGCATCTCTGAAACTCTCCCGCCTGTGCAAGGTCTTCCGCCGTTGGCGCGGTGCTGTCGCAGGGGCAGAGATTGAGCATGGAGGGTGCTTTTTCGATGCAGGTGTCTAGAATCTCAACGTGGTTCTCCCGAAGCTAGAATCTAGAATATCCACCAGAATGTACTTCAGTTGTCAATTTGTGCGCATTATCCGATGTAGACTGCCATTGCCCAGCCCTGCGGTGGCACCTGCACGATCGCCCTCCTCTTGACCTTGGCGCCACCTCGGCTGCTCTGCATGTTACACCCCTCAGCAGCACGTGCGATGTTGACACTAGTAGTTGCAAGAACTGACTGGACACCACAATGCCTCCTTGCAGACTCGACTTGCAAAACATGCATCAAAGGCGTGAATTTGGCGCTGGTGGGACAGGCACCGGGAAGGTTGTGCACGGTTCGGAGAGGGGACTTCTGTCTCGTCCATCTAGCAGAGTTGGGACTGGAAACGGCATCGGCGCACGCATCGAATCACTGAGACCGTCACCGTCACAGGTAGCACTGCACTCAGACCAGTCGGTCCAATCGCTCATCTTGCAATCCTAGCAGAAGCTGCCATGTCTGACGTGTTTTTACCTAGCCTTCCTCTCAAACAGAAGAGTCTGTTCCCCGTGCCGAGTCCTTTGTCTCCTCCTGCCCACATCCGTCGGGGTAGGGATCAAAAAGGCCAGGGTTGCAAGGCTGCGTCTCATGGATATCGCCATCACAGAGCACTCCACCGGATCTGCCGTGCTGAATGATAGATCGCTCCCGCTTCTGATTGCCATTGCAAGTCGCTGAGCAACTAGACCAATCGGACCACTCGGAGAGAACACCTGAGCGACTGCGAAACTTACTCCGGGTCTGCCCCGTCGCACATGTTACTCTCAGAGGCATGTCTGAATCATTGCGAAGTGATAAGCTGAAGGTAATCTCACACCGATTCTTACCGGTACCGACAGTATGGCATTGATCAATCAGACCAAGTCACAATCTCGTGCTGCATGACAGTGGTCCACATTGCAGAAAGCCTCCTCTCTGCTCAGGCCCTCTGCCGGCTTTCCACACTCGTTTGCGGCCACGGCCATGTGCCGTCTTCGGAAGGTGGTGCCGCCTCCACAGGAGACATCGCACGGGGACCACTCCTCCCAGTCGCCCCACTGGCCGTCAACGCAGACTTGCTTGACGCAGGATTGCTCCTTGCAGCCCTCCAGCTCAGACAGGGGACCAGGCTCGCAGTAGTCTCCACCGTTCTCGGGAGGCGTGACGGTCCGAGTTCGACCGCGCTGTCCCGATCCGCAGGTGACACTGCACTCGCCCCATGTGCTCCAGTCAGACATCTCGCAGGGCCGGACGCTGCAAGGAATGCCCTGGTGACAAGGTCTGCTTTCTGTCACGGCGCTGTCGCAGCCTTCTCCTCCAGAGGATCGGAGTTGCAGGACCTTTCTCTCTCGCTTCTCCTCGCCGATACCACAAGAGACAGAGCAGCCGCCCCACTCAGACCACTGAGACTCCTCACAGTCCTTCGTGGGACAGTAGCCCAAGTTGCATCCGGTGGTCTGGATCATCTGGCTGGGGCAAAGCTCACCACCATTGCGGGGAAAGGTTATGATCTGCCTCTGTCTCTTCAGCTGACCTGTACCGCAGCTGCGGTCACAATCGCTCCACTCCACCCAATCAGAGACCTCGCAGTCGATCTTTGCCAAGTCGCATGACTCGGACTCCAAGAGGTTACCCTCGCAACCTTCACCCCCATGCTCGGCGGAGGTCAGAACATGTCGTTGCCTGTAGCGTTGCCCCTCCTCGTCGCAGTGACCCCAGGCAGACCAATCGGTGAGCTCGCAGTCCACGGCCACGGCATGCTCACAATAAGTAGAGCACGGCTGCATCTCCACCAGGTCGTCGGCACAGCGCTCCCCTCCGGCCATGGGGACGGCAATCACGCTGCGCTCTCGCGTGTGCCAGCCTCGGCCACAGGACTCGCTGCAGGAACCCCACTCCGTCCAGGAGCTCAGCTCGCAATCGACAGGCTCCTGCTTGTTCGAGCATGGCTTCGTCTGGTGCAGGCTTCCACGACAGGGTAGGCCCCCATATTTCTGATCGTGCAAGATCTTGCGGAATCGATACTTTTGGCCAGTGGGGTCGGCGGTGTCACAGAAGCTCCAGTGCTGCCAGTCTCCTAAGAGGCAATCTCGGGGCACCTCCTCGGTTTCGCAGACCTTGGTCTCTTCGAGAGGTCCTACGCAGGCCTTTCCGCACTCGTTGTTCCTCCTGGCAACCTGGCGATGACGTTCGCACATGAAGTGCGTGGCTTGCGACCAATCGGTCCAGGCGCCAAAGATGCAGTTCTCCGGGGAGCAGTCTAAGTTCCGCCCTGGGCACCAAGTCACGTTGACCTGGGCGATGTTGGAGCAAGCACTGGAGTCCGCCCCTAGCATGTTGAAGAATACACCTTCAAGCGGCTCATCTTCTGTCACTGTCAGGACGCGACTCCGCATGGCCGTGCTTGACCCATAGCCAAAGCAGGATGTGGCACCGGTCCATTGTGTCCAAGCACAGTAGGATGGCTTCTCATAGCAGCCATCTTGCGAGCAGGCCGTCGTTTCCTTCAACTTGGCTGCTGCACACTGCCGACCAAAAGTATCTGGCAGCTTCATGATGGACCGATGACGGCGCTTTTGCCCTCTACATCCGGAGCAATCACTCCACTCAGTCCAGGATCCAAGCTGACAGTCCGCGTAGTCGCGGCCAAAGCACTGTGGCATGTAGCAGGGCTCCGTAACCTCGAGTGCACCTCTGCAGGTTTCGCCCCCACCTTTTGGCTTCACGAAAATGCTTCTGTGCCGCGAGTGCTGTCCACCTCCACATGTTACAGAGCAGGGAGTCCAGTCTCTCCACTCTGCCAGGACACAGTCCACTGGCTCGACAACCTTCTTGCCGGGACAGTCCGCAGGCTCCTCCTCGTCTACTGTTGGGTTGCAAGCCTCGATTTCTCGTAGCTCCTCCTGGCACGGCTTTCCTCCGTTCTTTGCGAAGACCGACACAAAGCGATTCCGCTCACGCACGCCATCACAGCTGCAGCTGCAGTCAGACCACAATCCCCACTCGGAGACTGCACAATCCAGAACAGCGGCCTTGGCTCAACTTCACTATTTGTACCATGGTCTGCAGCAGATTCAGGTGCCAGCCATATCTAACCAGGTCTACAGGTCTACAGAAAGATTAAGCACGAGAATTCCAATTACAGTGCTGCCAGGTAGCTGCATCGGGACACTCTGGCAGGTGCTTGCACGCTTCGAACTCCTCTTGCAGCCCAGTCGGAGGCTGGCCGCAGTGGTTGGGAGGAATGAGAACGTCCCTGCGCCGTGATTTGTAGCTGCCCGAGCACGTCGCTGAGCAGGCGGTCCACTCCATCCACTCTCCCCAAGTGCCGTCCCGACATTCCGACTGACACGGCTGCGTGTTGCACGCCTCCACCT